CACCACAGACAAGCGATTAAAATTGCAAGAGAGACTACTAACAATCAATAAGAGAAATATAATTCGGTAAAACATTTACAGAGACAACAATTTTCATTCACGAAGACAAGTATTAAAGAGTCTCTAAAAATCCTGATTGTTTAAGCTTAAAGCTTAAGCTTAAGTTTATTTTGTTTTACTTTCAGCCGGCCTCCCGGTGTTTGTTTTTTTTCAAAGATGAACTCCTCGAAACAAGAAAATCACTCAAAGTTTTCTTTCTACAGCCAAATTTATAACTGAATATTCTTCGGAACGTTTTTTTTTCCATTTGCCGTGAGAAAATATATCTGAAGGCCATTTAAAGTTCTGTAAGCTTATATCAAACCTGATACTAGATCAGATCATTGACTCAAATCTCAACAAACGTGCAAAAACTTGCCGCATAAACTGTGCTCGACTTCATGAAATTAGATATAACAAAAACAAATATCAAATACAATAATTACTCAGGCTTACCATTCGAGATTCAGTTCCTGAAAGCTATCAAGGGAGGCCATAGTTGCTTGAGACTTTTAAACCCTCTTACGCATTGAGAAAGGTGAAAGACGAAAACGATGCCATCCGAAATCGGATTACCCAATTTTGACAAGCGACGCATTTCTCAACCAAAAACCCAATAAACAAACCAGCCATGGATAACAGAAGACTCTTGATAGCAGCTGTATTTCATTTTCTACATCCAGTGGAAAAAGATTTAGACAGTTAAAATCATCACAAGTTGACACCAAACTCTGTCAGCTTTTGCTGTCAAAGTAAACAAGTTTCAAGATGCTGCATAAATTTTCCGCATGAACTCACCTGTCACATTTTGACCAATCAGAGTACAAAAATTGGACGTAGAGCGTGACCAACGCGTGACCATGGTAAGAAAGGTCTTCCCCGCCTTTATTTTTAAAAAAGTGGCTGAATTTTCGCGTCCGAGGTCAGTTTGAAATCAAAATCTTGACAGTGCGGGGCCATAGTGACATAAACATAGTGACATAAAAAAGTGGAAAAAATAGACTTGAGCCTGCGGTTATTTGAAACTGGTAATTTGTCAGCGGATAACTTCAAAAAAGTACTCGACCTCCATGGGTCGACACTTGAGCCCGCGGTACGGTCAGGTTATACTGGTCAGCGGATATCCTGTTTTGACAGCTGTCAATTGATCACAATACTGATGTGCTATTAGTTTTCTCTTGGGCTCCCAAACTAGCTAGAAAGTGTGAGAGTAAACATTGGTTTCCCTGTGGTGCGGACGGACGGTCGGGCGTACGGTCACGTGATTACCAAATTTTCTCGGATGGGTAGATTACCACATTTCCTTAGCTATGGGGCTCCGTCCACGCGCGCTGCGCGCGCGGGTGGAGCTCCGCTATAAATTTCAAGGAAGATCAGTGTGAAGAGTTTGTATGGGGACCAGATATTGAGGCTTAAAAAGTTAAATAAGCGTTTTAACGGATAGGCGTAGTATTTTACTTTAGCTCAGTAGAAATCAGCCTTAATATTAGTAATTTTCCTCTGTTTTAAGTCTTTCAGGAAAGATGAAGGTAAACATGGACAAAACGACAAAACCTCCAGTTATAACCTCGGAGTTGCAGCTTACGAACGCTGTGATTTCACGAGTGCTCGAAATTACTTCGAGTTAGAATTAAATGAGGCCAAACAGGCAGGAGACACGGATAGAAAACTCAAAGCATATAACAACCTTGGTAGAGCGTATCACCATCTCGCCGATTACAAAAAAGCAATCGAATTTCATCAGCAGTCTCTTAATATCGCAAAAGAGATTGGAGACAAAGGTTCAGAAGGGAAAGCATATAACAACCTTGGCAATGCATATTACTCTCTCGGTGATTATAAAAAAACAATCGAATTTTGTCAGCAGTCTCTTAGTATCGCAAAAGAGACTGGAAACAAAGGTTCAGAAGGCGAAGCGTATACCGGCCTTGGCATTGCGTATAGATGCCTCGGTGATTATAAGAAAGCTATCGAATTTCTTCAGCTGTCTCTTAGTATCGCAAAAGAGATCGGAGACAAAGGTACAGAAGGCGGCACATATACTAACCTTGGCGGTGCGTATCACTATCTCGGTGATTATGCAAAAACAATCGAATTTTGTCAGCAGTCTCTTAGTATCGCAAAAGAGACTGGAAACAAAGGTTTAGAAGGCACTGCGTATAGCAGCCTTGGCAATTCGTATAGATGTCTCGGTGATTATAAAAAAGCAATCGAATTTCATCAGCAGTGTCTTAGTATCACAGAAGAGATTGGAGACAAACATACAGAAGGTATAGCGTATTCCAACCTTAGCATTGCGTATGGCTGTCTCGGTGATTATAAGAAAGCAATCGAATTTCTTCAGCAGTCTCTTAGTATCGCAAAAGAGATTGGAGACAAAGGTTCAGAAGACACAGCGTATACCAACCTTGGCACTGCGTACCAGTGTCTCGGTGATTATGAAAAAGCAATCGAATCTCAGCAGCAGGCTCTTAGTATCGCAAAAGAGATTGAAGACGAACGTACGGAAGGTATAGCGTATACCAACCTTGCCAGTGCGCATTACTCTCTCGGTGATTATAAAAAAGCAATCGAATTTCTTCAACAGTCTCTTAGTATCGCAAAAGAGATTGGAAACAAACCTTCGGAAGGCACAGCATATACCAACCTTGGCATTGCGTATGACTGTCTCGGTGATAATAAAAAAGCAATCGAGTTTCATCAGCAAGCTCTTCGTATCGCAAAAGAGATTGGAGACAAAGAGTTAGAACAAAAGACGTACAACAGTCTTGGTCTTAGTTTTCTTAAGCTTCATGATTTCCTTAGGGCTGAAGAGTGTTATGAATCCAGTATAAAAGTGTTTGAGGCGATGAGGTTCCTTCTTCAAGAGAAAGATGAATGGAAAATCAGCTTTCGGGATCAATTAAAAACGTACAAATTTTTGTGGATTAGTCAGTTACGACAAAGAAAGACCAAAGAGGCGCTTTTCACAGCTGAGCGGGGACGAGCGCAAGCTCTCACGGATCTCATGGAATCCCAGTTCGGTGCAAAATCAACTCCGTCAGCATCAAAAGGGCAGATAGAACGAATAACTAACATTTCAAGCCTTATTTCATCGCCTATGACATTTCTTGCGGAAGCTTTCGAATCAGTGTTCTTCTGGGTGTTGCAAAGGGACCAAGAATGGCAGCTTATGGAAAAAAAAACTCTGTTACACCTTGGAAGATATGACTAACAAAGCATACGAACAAATTCGTGCTACTAAACCTGCCAGGTGCGAAGATCGCTCACTGGATGATCCAGACAACGAACCAATTGAAGATTTATCCGATAGGGGTGACAATGAAAAAGAATTTATATCGTCACAAGCTGGGGGTGATGCTTTAAGAGAGTTGTATGATGTTATGATCGCACCGATTTCACACTTGATAAAAGATGAGGAACTTATCATTGTTCCTGATGGTTCATCATTCTTGATTCCTTATGCTGCTGTTTTGGATCAAAATTTCAGGTATTTATCTGAAACGCTGAGAATTCGTTTGGCTCCGTCACTAACAAGCTTGAGGCTGCTGTCAGAGTGTCCAGAGGAGCGCCATAGTACATCTGGTGCCCTTCTGATTGGTGACCCGTGGATTGAGACTGTGCGCCTTAAAAGCGGAGAAAAACGAAAACTAACAAGATTTCCGCAGCTCCCTGGTGCTGAACAGGAGATAAAAATGATTGGACAGATATTAAACGTTGAGCCTCTCACTGGAAAGAACGCTACAAAAGAACAAGTGCTAAGTAGGCTAAACTCAGTTTCTTTAGTTCACATTGCAGCTCATGGTTCTGCGGAAAGGGGTGAAATTCTGTTGTCACCTAATCTTGGCAGCTCTGAACCTCCTGAAGAGAAAGACTTCCTCTTGACGATGACAGATGTGTTGAATGCAAGACTGGACGCCAAGCTTGTTGTCTTGAGCTGCTGTCACAGCGGACGAGGAGAGATCAAGGCTGAGGGCGTGGTTGGTATCGCACGTGCCTTTTTAGGAGCTGGTGCGCGTTCTGTTATTGCCTCACTTTGGGCGGTTAACGACGAAGCTACTCTGGTGTTTATGAGACACTTTTACGAACATTTGGTCAAGGGGCAGAGTGCAAGTAAATCGCTTCATGAGGCCATGAAAATGATGCGGGAGTCAAAAGAATTCAGTGCAGTGGAGTACTGGGCACCATTTATGCTGATTGGCGATGACGTCACTTTAAATTTCGACCAATGAAGGTGAGGTTCTTTGGGTAAGTTTACTTGAAAATGTTATTGCGTCAATGAAACGCAAGAAAAGAACTATCTTAACGTGGAAAATCACCAAAAGTGGTAGAAATACCACCAGGTGATAATACTTATAAGATAAATTTTTTCGGACAAAGAAGATTAACGTGGAATTACCACGAACAAACTTGAAAATTTGGGGCTAAAGTTACAACAAACGTTTCTGCAGTTTAGAGAAATAAAGGGATGTTATCTTTGAATGTTTCACTTCCAGTTTCCGAAATTAAGCCCTCCGGAGAGCTTAAAACAAACGCTTCGGAAATCTCGGAAATGACCTACCTTTGGGTAATTTAAGAAGCAGGGCCCAGTTGTTCGAAGGCCGATCAGCGCTTAACCCAGGGTTAAATTTAACCCGGGTTTGTTTTTCTTGTGTTCAAAAGCATTTTCTCGGATAATTTTCTCTGTTATTTTCAGAGCTTCCAATCATCAGCTTGTAGACAAAAAGAATTAAAACTGGAATGCTTTTTAATCTTTCAAAATCTGAATGCAAATCTCGCACTAACCCTGGGTTATCTTAACCCAGCTTTGAACAACTCGGCCCAGGTCTGTTCATTATTTACCCTTACGACCCTTATACGTTTTCTTATAAAATTATAACAATGATGTTTTTTTTTTTCAGTTGCATTGCAGCACAATATAACGGAAACAGCACAGCATAACGAACTCTAAATGATGAGTTGCTTTCGGCGGTAACAAGGTCGCTTGCACAGGGACACAAGGAAAGCAATAAAAACGAAACGAACCATGAACAAATATCAAAGGTCTTCGTGTAAGGTCGAAACATAAGGATATGATAATACTCACTGATGACGTTCACTAATGTCTCGAATTCATTTTTACACGTGACAACCTCGAATCAGCTATATATCACGTTCTAGTCATATATCACTGAAGACTCGGAAAAATTGTTTTCAAAAAGGATTTTGCTAGATTTTGAGATAACTAAGGAATGCCAGGCTTTGTAGTAACTTTCTTTACAAGTTTACTTGTCGCTTCCAAACCCCTTCCAAATAGAGAAATGGCGTATTTTGTCCCACTGCGTTTGTTTTGTCCATTTTGTTTGATAATTCGTCTTTTAAGAACAGAAAAATGGAATTTTAGTTAATTTCATATATCCTTTTCTTTGCAAAGTTTTTTGTGCAAAAGTGTGTAAGGCACAATATTTGTTCAGTGTAAATATCTTGTCCTTAGCAGATTCCATTCACACGGATAGTTTACAATAATTTTGTGCGAGAAAAAACATATCTTTTCAACTGAAAATTACTTCAGTTATGAGACTGTTCTCTATGTGGTCCACTCCATGAGAGTATCGCGCCCGCAGTATAAACGCAGTTTAAACACAACTGCAAATCATTATTAAATCATTTTGAATCGTAGTTAGTATTTGTAATGTTGGTTCAATTTTCAAATCTTTCTTGTAGTGTTAGTTTCTAAACGTATCTTAGTGTTCTTTTTATATATCGTGACTTTTTTTTTTTAGAGAACCCTCCTCAAAACCACCTTCAGGTGACTGGAGGCCTCCTCAAAAAATATTTATTATAGTATGTTAAGGACGTAATGTTTGGCTCGCTAGCGATAACAGCGGTGTTTATTGACACGACTAGGAAAACATTAAGCCACATATAAAGTAATGAAATTTAAGTGCGTTTCTAGCTGTTTAAAAGACAAGGTCACACCAGAAAGGTTAATGTTTCCACTCCGAAATAAAAAGATGACAGTGCCGGGTTTGATTATTGATCATTCTCTGAGCCTTCCAGTCCATCTGATCCAAAAGGCATTTGTTCGACGACAATCGTTGAAAATCAACTGTAAGCACAGATCACGCGTAATTACTTGCGTCCAATGAGAAAGCGGCTGCAAACTCTTGGTTTGGTACTGTCAGGTAGCCATTTTGTATTTTCTACCGGTCTCCTTTATTTGGAAATTTTTATAAGAAAAAAAAATGTAGACTTTGAAGGTTCAAATAAACGGTCATGATCCAAACTAATTTTCATCACTTAAAGAAATATTAAGGCTAGATGTATAGTCTGTGAAGGAAATTCTTCAGTTTATTTTTCAGTAGATCACTTTCACTTTCAGTATATTACTTTTCAATTTATTTTTAATTATGACTAGTTTATTGCTCTTATATTAAGAATATACATTACTCTTTGTAATTTTTATGACTTATTGTTAATTATGGCCAGTTAGTTTTAATAAATATTGTATATTTCTGAGTTGTTAGTAGAAAATGAAGGTCTTAAACTTTAAGTATTTTTTTACAGTCTTAAGGCTATTTCCGAGTTGCTCCAAGATTCTGTTTCAAAGCGAGGCTAAGTGAAAAGCTATTGACATGAAAATAATTTTTTATTTTCATGCAAATAAAACTTGTTTTCACAAGAATAGTTTTGCACTTAGCCTCGTTTTCAGAGTTATTTGTTGCTGTTTGCACCTCCCCCAGTCCGTTATTGTCCTTAGTGGGACCCCCCTTACAAATAATAGAAAAATAAACAAACTTAAGCTTCCCGCCAATTTCACCTTGTGCGAAATGACGTCACGCATGAGCCAAAATGGCAACTCAAGATCCTTGCACTCATTTGACTGACGAAAATCCCTCTGGGATCAGATGAGCTATGAAGGCTCAGGAAACTGTCAATAACCAAACACCTTATCACTATTTCAGAAATGACGCTTTGAAATGCCAGATACAGAAACTAGTGTATTGCTATATTGAGAAACCAAGAACAAAGATGGTCTGTGTTTTAAATTGTTAGTAGGAAAAAAATGAAGATTTTAGTGTGACTTTCGTCAATCCATTAGTAAATGATTTAAAGCCTAGTTCCCAAATCCCCCATCTGAGAATCCCGTTCCAAAACAGAAAATATTCGAGTGCCTACGTTCTTGTGCTAGTCACACTCCAGGGGCACCCAACGACAATTTTCGGAAAAATATCTGTTCGCAAGACGATTTGAGATCTAGAATTTTCGAAACATTTGTTGTAAAATTTCTTGCTTGCCTGCCTCTCCTAGGATTTTGGGAAATCTAAAAAATGGTATAATTGCCTATTTTTAACGGATTTTTACCCTAAAAAGGTCACCTAGAATTTTCGGGAGCCTTTTTTCTAGCTAAAATTTTCGAAAAGGTAAGTTTTGATCCCTATAATTCTCGGATCACTTGACTTTCAGCTAGGAAATCCGAACAGATGAAAAATTTTTAGGGGATAAAAATATGCCTATATCTACCGTTTAAATACTAAAATACGTTTAACAATTCTATGTTTAAGTGGTTTTGAACTATATTCTCGTTGGGTGCCCCTGACACTCCTATTCTAATTCAAAGACTTCCGCACCCAAAAGTGTCTAAAAACGTTACATTTAGCAAGAGCACATATAGTATAATACCCATATAGCAAGTATTTGACCTCCCCCTCCCCCCATGGTAGTGATCCTCCATAGCTGTCATAAGTGATAGGTAGGCACTTGCGGAAGTTTGCCGTTAATTTCCGGCAAGAAATCATCGTTCATCCTATATAAGACATATAACGCCGACCATTGCACAACATTCGAAAGAATTCTTTTCTTTTGAGGTCGTTTCAACCATTTTAGTCAACCCGTACCGGTTAAGCGAGAATTTAGGCTAGAATTTGCTTTTCTTTTAAGCGCAAATGAAGTCGACGTCTACCCTGGGACCAGAATCTGCAGTGAAGGGAAGAAGGTAACATCCGGGTCAAATAGCAAAAAAATGTCGGCGAGCGGCAGAGCGAGCCCCAATCCACCGCTCGGCTAATCTCGTACCCAGATCTCACTCTGTTTTACACTGAAAAGTGAGATCTGGTAAAGGTGGATACAAGGCCATTTTTCATTGGCTCCTGCTAAAAGTTGTGCCGTGATAAAACAAACACTATGATTGGGAGATCTGGGTACGAGATTACCGCTCGGCCCGCTTCGCTCGCCAATATTTTTGCTGTTTGACCTCGTTTTTTGCCTTCTTCCCCAACTGCGGAGCATGGTCCCGGGCTACCCTTTAATTTCCCCTCCCCAGACTACCACTTAGTCTGCTACACAGCCGTTTTTAGTGTCGTCACGCAACAATCTCTTTGAGAGCGTTGCGTGACGACACTAAAAACGGCTGTGTAGCAGACTAAATACCTCTCGGCTCGCTCCACGATTTGGTTTTCGCCTACGTCTTCTTCCTCCCCCCCCCCCCCCCCCCCCCCCCCCCCCCCCCC